TATATATATATATATATATATATATATATATATATATATATATATATGGATATGTATATGTATGTATGTATATATGTAATCTTTTTATAAGAAATTAATAGTCAGCATGGCATCATGTGTTATAATACAAAACACGAGATTACATATGCAACATCTTATCTCTTACGAAAGTATCTTGAAGATACATATGTTGTCAATATAAGCGAGCTCTTCTTCCGGTGAAATAAAACTGCAAAGTGCGCGCATGCACATCCAATGTGTGACGATCAGTAATTTTATACAGTTTTACTATATTGTGACAAATTTAACCAGACCTGTGTCTAGTGATTAATACAAAAATTAAATCTCAAACGAACATTATATCCACGACTGGATATTAAGGCGCATATACATATCTCTACTTAAAAAATTAGCATATGTTTTCTATTTATTCGCGATTGATCGAGGAATTGTCGATCACAACGCGATTTGCCGGGACCGTGACGCGAGAACGCGAAGGTATTATTGATAGATAATGAGGATCAGGAAAAACACAGAGAATAAAAACGAACGAAGGAAGGAGACTTACTAGATAGAAACTATTAATTTGAAGGCAAGAAAATGATGTAACTCGTCCGTCAACTTCATAGTTTTATTGGAAATATATTTCAAACATAAAAAACATTTTGATAAAATAATTCAATGCTTCAAGATTATTAAAAAAAGAGCTTTATTAAATTAGCTTGCATGTTTGTCTAGATGTACGTTTGCGATTATCTCGAGAACAATTGCATCGATCTTTAAAATTTTCAGCAAATCTAGATATTTAAGAAATGTATTTCCTCTTTGATATTAATAACACTCAACTTTAAGACATACTCGGCATACATTTTATCATTTAAAAATATGTCCGCCATTAGTTTACAGTGGCTCAAAAATAAGATGTATACCGTCCTTGACTGAAAGCAAGAATGATGATTTATCAATACTTAGAGGTATCGGAGTTTGGGGATGCAGTTTAAACTTGAATTTTGACAGAATACTTATAATCGCAACCTTTGTTTGCACATAACCAAATCTTGCACCTAAAAATTAATAAGATTCATATATTAATAGAGTTCAGATTCATAAAAAAATATATTCCAAGTCGTAGGTAAAAGAAATAGACTATATAACACGACAATAATAAACTAATAAGTGTCATTATAAATCCCTACGTACATTTAAAATTAATACCATAATTAAACTAAATGTTAAAAATATCAAAAGATTAATGTCATTCTGAAAAAACTGCTCTCTTAAAGT